GGAGGAGAGCAAAGCAAGTCGAGCCACATCTGGCACGCAGGCCCTGCACAGGCCTGAAGTGCTGCTGAAGCCGCACACTCCCCTTATGCTGGAATGTTTCTTTTCAAAACCCGAGGATGGACTGACAGCTCCCATCAGGAACATCACCATGAATATTCATGCTCTGTTTTTTTTTAATCCTTTTCGTCAGCGCTGTCTTTTGGATCAAGATTTCAAAAAGCTGAACTTCCAAATTTTAGACTGATCAAGGGAATTCCATGGGGACAATCTGGCACATGTTTCAAGGTACAAAGAAGATTTCCCCTCCAAAAATGTTTTAAGTGACAATATATGTATACACACACACAGGCTTTTTTTTTTTTTTTGGAATATGACAAGCAGCCAAAACAATAATCCTGTTTCAAGATGATATGACACAAATCCCAGCTGTCATGGTATCACCATGGCCCTTAGGCCTACAACATACTATATGAAACATGTAGTTATATTACAATGACAGTGAATAATGTGGAGCAGAAAATGCTAAACAATATACCACAACTAGATATTATACAATATGTGCTTTGATGAATATCAAAATGAGAAATAAATACTGACAATCTGAGATACCAGATACACTGATTCTTTAAAGGAAATGATAGAATCAGATGCTAAATAATAAAGAATTATAAAAGGTAATTTACTCGCTGAACCAGTATGCAGCTGTGTTTTTAACAACCTTTCTACTTTCTTTGCGCATACCTCTCTGGCACTTTTAATCATACGCCTCGCAGCCTCCTTGCACCCATATATGCACTCCCCGTAGCTGGGCTGGAAGTGCGCCACGGCCCGCGTGACTCCTCGGTAGGAACCTGCGGTGAAGGCGGGCCAGCCGAGCTCCAGCAGTGGCGGCTCCACGTCCGACAGCTCGGGGAAATAGGTGAGAGAGCAGTCCAGGGAGCTGCCGAGAGACTCCTCCAGTGCCTGGTCCTCCCCGTGGAGGGACACACACCGCGGGGGCACGGCGGCGCTCCTGATCCGCTGGATCTCATCGTCCGACAGAAAGTTGGGGATTCTCTCTTTCCTGAGGAAGTCCAAGAAGTTGTCGTACCCTCCCGAGAGCAGCTCCTCCAGGGCCAGCCGGTGTCTCTCGTTGTACACCTCCTGCAGGTTCAGGTCATCGGCCCCGGTGTGTTTTGGACCCAACCGCAGAGGCGAGTCGTCCAGGAACTGCGACAGAGCCATTGTTGGATAGTTGTTCCCCCACCTTTACCTCAAACGGACTCTGCCGCTGCTCAGGTGGCAGGTAACGTATCACCCACAGGAAGCCAAATTCGTATTTTGTTTTTTCCCTCCGTTCCTGTCCGTCATGGATCCGTATTGGCTGTCGGACGGTTGTCAAACCAGAATGGCGTCTCCGGGCTCGCCGAGTCACACTGTCAGTCTAATGTAAAGCCGATTTCATTGGCTCATTTGGAGGCAAACAAGCCTCCTGTACGTCCCTCTGCTCTGCCCTGATCCAGTTTCACCGCAGAGAGCAGGGGAGAGCACAGAGCTCCCACTCTTACGCTTTCACCCGGTATCAAGGACGGTGTCAGTCCTTGGGACCAGTTTCCTCAATCTCAGTAAAATCAAAAACGAAACTAAACACCCGCAAGATTTCTTTAAAAACTCTTGCTTTCTGGCAAGGTTTTCTCTTTCACTTTAGAAGAACATAAACATGTAGAAAGTGATGTCCCCCCCATCTGTCCAATATGCTGCTGGCAGTTAAGAGGAGCAGCGCGCTTCTGTTTTATGATGTGGAGCATCTCACTAACTCTGAGCCCTGGTAAAATACACGAAGCCGGGAGCTCGTCAGGAGTTTTGTTTGTTTACAATACTAGAAAAAAACTGTTGCATAATGATTGTGGTTGGTGTTTATATTGTAAAATGTTGCCTACACTCAGGCACAGTAGGCCTAACCATGATGGATTTCAATGTGAACATGTAGGCGTATCACAAGAACAATAGCCTACAAGTCTTAGGGGTGTTATTTGAAAACAAAAATACTTGTGAGACTGTCACTCTCAGCTATGCCAATGTCACAAAAAAGAGTTTAAATTTAACAGGTAATATCCGGTCCAGTTTACCACCTTTGTAAACCAAAGTGCGCGAGGTGCATACACAGCAGGTAACCATAGCAACATGATGGCCTATACTTCTTAACTTAATCTGAATTCAAACTACAAAAAAATGGGTTTTGATTTGAACACTGGCCACCTTGTTTAACGATGGCACAAGTGCGTTACCACACGAGTTGGATCCTGCCCGATCAAGAATTCAGGCGATTGACACAAAAGCCTGGCACTTGAGGAGCGCTACAGACCATCTAACCCTGAAGAGTGCTCAAGATCTGTCAAGTGGATTTGGAACACCTGTCGTAGCCTTACTGTTGGCCACTCGCATCGAGTGTCCTTATAGCATCTAAACCCTTAAGCCTATCTGCAACATCTAGACGTCCAGAAAATTCAACGCACAGTAGCCTAAATCAACTGTAAACCTACAAACTTAAACAACCCAGCATGCCTTTTTAATTTAGAAGATTCTCAATTGAAAATGTTCTGTGCAATGTCTTGGGAACCTCTAATCTAACACGGATAATGTCAAATACAAATAGCCTTGGCCTATAGGGAAAGACCTGCAAAAGAGGAGATAGTGCCAACAAAACCAGAGGAATCAGACAGACACTTACTCCCCGAGCTGCCCAACAGAGTGCAACCAAATCTAAAAAGTAAAAAGTCTTACATTGTATTGAGACATGACTGTTGGGATCCTGTCCTTCACTTGATCACATATCAGCTTAAGTGCACCGAATGTATTGCAAGAAAAGTTACATTTTTGAGGCAGAGGTCGTTTAACTATTCCAGATCATGCACAACTACACGTCTCATACTCCTGTAAACCGGAACCATGGGCTAGCGTTTTTTGTTTTTACTGTTGAGTGATTCATCTTCCTGATAGATCATCTTTGTTTCTCCTGACTGTATACAGCCACAGCTACAGGCAACGTCTGAATCCAGGACAAAGTGGGAGGTAGGTTTCCTAAATATCAGAGGCCTAGCCCTATATGTTCATACTTTACACCAGACATCGCAGGTGTTGCATTTACGTTGCATATGCTGTAGGCCTCCAGTTATTGTCTCCTTACCTGTTACACACAATAAAGTGTAGCCTTCACACTAAATCCGTCATATAATTATTTCTAAGGTTATATAATCCATAATACTCAGTGGTTTTAAAGTGACCTTATCTACTTAATGTTGTTTCTGTACTATTTCTACGGTATTCAATGCTATTTGACTAGCGGTTATGTTTTCTCAGTATCCTCCCAACATACATAGTTATTCTCAGATTATATTTTTTTCTATCAGACCCTTATTCCAAACTGGTCTCTGTCTGCTTTGGGCCTCTGCACTTTTATCAGTGCGCTTTTACGCACAGAAGGCCAGCAAGGTCACGAGGGTCACAGCCATATAGCCCCTATTCTACACAATAAGACATAACTAACATTGGTAACGTGATGAAAGGGAAAATGTCTTCTTATGTTTAACTATAAAAATGGTCATGAACAACTAGGCTACATTTACTGTGCATCTGCGTAAATTGGTCTACCACTATTACGCGTGTGCGTAAGAGTCTATTTTAAGCCGGAAGTCTAATAGGTCTGTGCTTTAAATGACAATTCCCACAACGATTAATATTCATAGAGATTTTTTTTTCTAATGACGGAGAGCCATCTACTGAAAAAACATGTGACCTAATTAAGAGGACCTTTTGGGTGATGAAGCTGACTGAAACGGCAGATCACTAAACTCCTGTGAAATCCCAAATGTACACAATACAATCCATCTGTTCAGCCTGCTCCGCGGCGCCATTGTAGCTATGTATAACCCAATCTGTTAGAGCTCTGCCTTACTCCTATAACGACATACCCAAATGTGCACTGGGCTCAGTATACGTACCCCCCGCCCCGCCCCCCTTCTACTCACTCATGCACGCATACATACACACACACACATCCCCATCTCATCCCCGCCCCTCTCCAAAATTTTAGATGAAAGGGCTTTTGGATTTTGGATGACGCTCCGAATCACGTGTTCATAGGAAATACACTCGCTATAATTTTTTTGGAGCTGCCTCGTCCTGCACCGCCGACCATAGTTGTTTTGCCGTCTCCATACAGTGTGGCAGAGGGGTGGATAGGTAATGTAATGTAATGTACCTTGCCGTGGTCACTGACGGGTTCACGCCAGTTCACCGGGTTCACTTGAGGAGAGCTCCCACCCCCTGCTCGCCTCCTCTTCTTGTTAAAACGCAACGATCGGAGCTAATCCAATATTATTCATTTATATATTAATGTCGGATTCCATTTTTCCCCACCGACTGTTGAGGTAAGGACACATCTACTCTTCCAAAACGCGAATGCTTCGCATTATTGGCGAGGTGCGATCTCCAAAGTTGTTTACTGAAATTATGCCTCGCTATTGAATATTGAATTTTCATCTGCTGTTGTAGTCAAGGCAGTTTATATGAAGTCGCCAATGTATAAAATGGCGACAGTAGGTGGAGGAGGGGGGTGGAGGATTTTTGGGAATATTCATAAGGTTATATAGAGTGCCAGATCGCCTTTGGCAATAGGCTCCGAGGCAGTGTGTTGCCCCACAGCTTTGTGAATGGAGTGAAACGGGTTAACTCGTCAGTTTGTTACAGTTACAACGGATCCTCCGTCTGGCTTAATTTGCGCTCCTTCTCGCGCTATACAATGTGGCGTATCTGCTTATTTTATTGCACAACGCGCTGTATTTCCCCACTGTGTGCTGTGAGCGTGAGTGCTTTTAGTTGTGAAAGACTTCTGAACACAGTGCTATAGCAGGCTTATCGACTGGTATAAGAAGCCTCCGAGTGCATAGATGTTCAAACTGCACGCCAAGTATCAATTTTCATCTATTGATCGCTCACTCTCTACACATTTCTTCCTCTAGCCTGAGCAGAAAGGTAGGCCTTTATGTCTATGCACAGGACTCTTTTTCTTTCATTTCCTCCTCTTCCTCCTGCCAACATGTGCTGCTGCCCTACTCTCACACACACATACACACACACACACATACTGAAACATATACAGTAGGCTACAGAAACAAGAGCTGCTCATTTGAGGAGCACAAAGATATTTTGCAAACTGGATTAACAGTGAGGCATTGTATTAAACATATCAGTTCCTCTATGGTCACATTTTCTATCTGTACATAAATATTGACCGAGCTTTGAATGCCATGTGTATCCCTCTGCCTTTAGGGGAGGGACCTCTGTGCTGACTAATGTTGCCTCTGTGGATCATGTGTGGGCCCATAACACAAGAGACAACCCCATATTATTAAAGCAGCCAGCTAGACGGGCATGAATCATCGTCAATTTTTGGAATGTATTTTAATTATTTAACCGTGTAAGCTTGTTACATATAATGTAGGTCATAGAAATGACTGCGCAACACTTAAGCCATTGAGGTTTTCCTGAGAGAGTAGGTGTACGGAGAGTCACTCCAAGTGTGGAGCAGAGTCCAGTCTCCAGTGGATATTACTGCACTGCAATAGTTAATTTTCAGGCGTTTGTGATGACCGGCTAAACAAAGGTAAATGAGCTCTCGCTGTGCGGATTGGGTTCAGCTTGGCCCAGTGAGTCTAGTGTGTGGAGGTTTTCACTCCAGTAGGACGCTTACACTGGGGGAATGTCAATTCCCTTTGTGGATCCCTGGGAACGGTCTTCCATCTCCCTTCTCTGAACTGCTCTAATGAGGCCAGGCATATTGCCTTTCATCCCTCACTCCCTGCAATTAGGCACAGCTCACAGTTTTGGTTATGGCCACAGCGGAGTGTTTGTATACACAGATACAATGTAGTGGGCCAGGACTGCCCACTCCCCCTCCGCAGAGCAGCAGCGTCTCTGCACATGCCACCCTTCATATACCTGGAAAACGGTACTTTTGAGGATTTAGTGTTCTGTTTTCTAACAGCAGTCACTGTAGATGTTATGTTTGTGTGTGCCTCCCACAGCTCAAAATGAATCCCCTGCCAGAGAATACAGAGGAAGGTCATATGGTCATGATTTGCAGATTTAGCTGACATGGAGTGTATAACATTCCTTGAGTTCAGAGAAGAAAATCTAACTAAACTATCTAATGCCAACCAGATCTATTTTCCAGCCATTTTTATACAAACAAGCATTCATGATAG